TCCTCCTCCTCCTCCTCCTCACAGTGATGAGGTTACAACAACCGTCCCCCCCCCCTCTCAGAACACTAGTTCATCCCTGAGCTACATAGATCCCCTTGTGTAATAGGGAAGCCCCCCAGGGTGACCAAGAGTGAGGCTTTGCCTCCTGTCCGTCCCATCAAAATCCCCCAAAAGACCTTTTCAGGAATCAGAGATACAACACCCCAGGTTCTGGATTTTGACCACGTGATCTTGGGAAACCACGACCCTTGTAATCACAAAAGTCAAGTGTCCGAATTTGGATCATGTGATGGGGGGGGGGGGAACAGTCATTGTTTTCAGTGCCGTTGTAACTTTGAAGAGTCACTAAACAAGGGCTGCCCTTATATTACGATTAAATTACAATTGTAATTGTAATTACAATGAAAACCTTATAAAACTTTTTTTAAAAATAGCAGGAAAACCCATTAAAACCTTATATTAACTTCGAAATAATTCCAAAGATGAGGTGAGCCTTCTAGAATTAAATCAATTTTGTCATTTATTTATATACCCCAGCAGTCCTTGACTTACAACAGTTCATTTAGTGACTGTTCGAAGTCACAGCGGCCCTGAATGTAACTTATGACCATTTCTCACACTTAACGACCATAAGCAGTGTCCTCGTGGTCGAAATTCGGACACTTGGCAGTGGATTTATATTTATGACCGTCTCCAGCGACACGCGATTCCCCCTTTTGCAACCTTTGGATGAGATAAGTCAACAGGGAAGCCAGATTCTCTTAACGACCATGCGATTGATTTAAGAACGGCCGCAATTCACTTAACAACTGAGGCAAGAAAGGTGGTAAAAGAGAGCTTAAAAACTGTTTTGTTTAACAACGGGAATGTGGCAAGTCGGTTCACATTTATAACGGTCGCAGTGTCTCCAAGGGGTCCCACCATCCCCCTTTGGCAACTTTCTGACAACAGGGGATTCACTGAACGATGGTGTTCCTAACGTGACAAAGGCAAGGATTGACTTAACAACAATGGCAAGGAAAGTCATACGAGGGGGGGGGGGCAAACGTTTCCATTTTGGGCCAGTCAAAACTCAAGGACCAATAGTGATATGTATATGGTATCTATATTTTTAATTTTGTTATATATTAATTAATTAGTTAATTAGTGCCTGGAATAAAATCTCTCTTTTTTTCAGAGCAAATTGATTCTGCTTTGTGCCACGAAAACGGATGCCAGCTTTCTGGTTCACCATTTCCTCTCCTTCTACCTCAAAGGTATGTGGGGAAGGAAGGACTCCGTAACCTATCTCCCACCTCCATCCCTTTCCCCGCTCCGTCCATTTTTCCATCACTAAAAAAAACGAAGTACAAGTAACTCCTTGACTTACGACGGCTTGCTTCGCGATCGTTAAGACGGCCCTGGAAAAAAAAAAAGACCATTGTTCGCACTTAATGACCGTTGCAGAATTCCTGTGGTCGCGCGATCAACATTCGAACGCTTGGTCACTGAGTCCCAGGGTTACGTGATTCCCCCCCTTTGCGACTTTCTGGACAGCAGGAAGCCAGATTCACTGAGCAACTGTGTTACTGACAGGACAACTGAAGTGATTCGCTTAACAACAGTGACCGCAAAGCTTGTGAAACTCGCTTCGCGCATGTTTCGTTTAGCGACATAAATCTTGGCCTCCTCGGGGGGTTGTAACTGGGGTATGATCTCCCTAATGTCTCTTTCTTTTTGTCTTTCGCAGCCGGCTGCAAAGTCTGTTTCCTGGCCTTCGTGCAATCCTTCAGCCATTACAACTCCGTGGCTCAAAAGCTGGTGAGCCAATTTTATTTTAATCTATGAAAATATCTATTACAACCTCATGGATTTCCAACTCCCAGAATTCCTGGCTTTGGGATTCTGGGAATCGAAGGTTAATTAGCTCAGGGATCCAGACCAGATTATTCGGTGTTGGAGGTCCGGAGGGGCAAGGAGGGGGCAAGGTTTCTGTGGACGGGGCAGGAGTATGGGCATGTATGCGTGGTTGAGCATCCGTTTCTCGTACGTGTCGTCTGGCGATCACCTACGAGGCTCAGACGAGCGGGGCTGCAATCCACCTAGAGGCTCATTCGAGTGGTATCACCTGTACAAGATGTCTTGCCACCCCATGTGAGGCGACTGTGGTTGGGATCACCCGCACAGCTCGTGTGAGCGGGGCTGCAATAACCCATGAGGCTTGCGAGAATGGGCTGTGATCACTAACGAGGCTCATGCGAGTCGGCCTGTGGTCACCCCCGAGGCTCGTGCAAGTGGGGTTGCGATCACCTGCGTGTGAGTGGGATCACCCGCGCGGGTTGTCCTGCGATCACCTGCGAGGCGAGTTTGGCTACAATCACCCGTGAGGCAGTGGTGGGTTTCAAACAATTTTTGGAACCTCTTCTGTAGGTGTGGCCTGCTTTCCAGGTCCACTGGTGGAACCTCTTCTAACCGGTTCGGTAGATTTGACGAACCGGTTCTACCGAACAGGTGCGAACCGGTAGGAACCTCTGCCGTGAGGGTTGCGTGAGTTCGGTCTGTGCTCACCCACAAGACTCACACACGAGTCGTCCTGCGATCACCTGCGAGGCTTGTGTGAGTGGGGCCACTTGCAAATAGGCCTCATCCTGGTAGTGCGCTGCGGCCCACCAGTTGTCGACTCCTGATCTAGACAACGATGGTGTATGCTTGGGAACGGGTGAAATACATCTAGTTCTCGAGTTCAAATGGTTCGTTTTACAATCATTCAAAGTCACAACAGAACTGAAAACAGCCACTGATGACTCGTCCACAGGTGGGATCCAGCAGGTTCCGATTCATTCTGGAGAACCGGTAGCGGAAAGTTTGAGTAGTTCGGAGAACCCGTAAATACCACCTCTGACGGGCCCCGCCCCCATCTATTCTCTGCCTCCCGAGTCCCAGCTGATCGGGAGGAAATGGGGAGTTTGTAGTAACCTTTCCCTGCCACGCCCACCAAGCCACGCCCAAACCATGCCACGCCCACCAAGCCACGCCCACAGAACCAGTAGTAAAAAAACAAATGAATCCCAACAGTGGACTGGTCCTTGGACTTACAAATTGTTTTGGATTCTCATGCAGTGGGCTATTTGTCCAAAAAAAAGAATTCCTCAGCTGTGTTTCTCGTTCCAATTTCTCATTTTTCCTGTTTTTATTTTTAAGGGAGTCAATCTCCTTACAGCCAAGGAAGAAAAACAGCTAGTGTTCTTTGAAGGGCTGAAATCGGCAAACCAGGTTTTGTTCGGCGGTGGACAGGAATCCGGGGACCCCAATCCTTTCCAATTTGTCAGGTAGCCGAATGTGTTTTTTTTCGGGAGCTACAGGTCCTCCAACTAAAAAATCTATTTCTTTAACTGACGGTTCAAAATTACAATGACACTGATATTTTATTTTATTATATTGTTTATTTTATTACTTTATTGTAATTCAAAATTACAACACTGATATTTTTATTGTTTTATTTTATGGTTTTATTTCATTTTATTATTTTATATTTTATTTATTTTGCTGCGTTCAAAATTACGACAGCGATATCTTATTTCATTCCATTTTATTTTACCTTATTGTTTTACTTTATTTTACTTATTTGTTTTTAATTTTGTTGTTTTATTGTTTTATTTTATTGTATTATTTTTAAATTTATTATTTTTAAATAATAAATTTAAAATGCAAGTTAAAGTGCAAAATTCAATCAAATAACAGTTTTTCACACTTAGGATTGTTGCTGCATCCCCAGTCACGGGATCAAATTTCAGAGGCTTGGTAGCTGACTCACATTTATGACGGTCGCAGTGTCTGGGACCAAGTGATCTCTTTTTGTGAAGACAAGCAAAGACAAGCAAAGTCAGGGAAACCCGATTCGCTTAACAACTGTGTTAATAACAAATGCAGTTACTCACTTAACAACTGGTGGGAAGAAAGAACTTAAAATGGAGCAAAAGTCATTGAACAACTGTCCCACTTAACAATGGAAATTTTTGGCTCAATTGTGGCCATAAAAAGAGGACTACCTGTATATGGGATAATTCAAATCATTTTGGTCATATTTATCACATATAAGTTGTCCTCGGCATGATCAAAATATTAAACTTCAGATAGTCCTTGACTTACGACCACAATTGAGCCCCAAATCTATTGTTAATGAAGACAGTTATTAAGTGAGTTTTGTGCCACGTTGCAACCTTCCTTGCCATGGTTCTTGAGCGAATCCCTGTCATTCTTCGGTTAGTGACGCAATTGTTAAGCAAATCTGCATTCCTGCTCGTCCCAACGGTCGCAAAAGGTGACCGCGTGGACGCCGTCCCTGTCATGAATACGAGTCACTTGCCAAGCATCTGAATTTTGATCACTCAACACCCCCCCCCCGACCCCGCTCCGTGCAGGGATATAGCAACACCTGTACGGGGGATAACGGTTGTAAGCTACTATTTTCGGTGGCCGTTGTAACTCGGAACGGCCCCTAAGTGAACAGTTGTAAGTTGAGGAGTATCTGTAGTTCTGAAAACCAGACCGTTGACCGTGGTTGACCTCAACTTTGCATCTCTCGTTTGCAGCGGAGACGGGTCAGATCTGAAACAACTTTATCATTTTGTCCGGACATCCCTGAATCCTTCTGATGGCGGAGATCAGTGGAAGTTTCCCGTTCTGATCGTCGACGATCTCGGTGTCCTATTAAGTCTCGGGGTGCAGTTGGCGGATGTCCTGAATTTTGTTCACTATTGCCGGGCGACCGTCAATGCCGAACTGAAGGTAACTTTCGAATGCAGGTAGTCCTCAACTTAACAACAGTTCCATTTAGTGACCGGTCAAATTCGCGATAACGAAAAAAGGGGCTTAGGGTTGTTTTTCATACTGACGACTTGTCACAGTGTCCCCGTGGTCACGTGATCAAAATTCAAATGACTCATCTTTACGACGGTCCCTGAGTCCCAAGGTCCGGTGATCCGTTTCGTGACTGTCCGACGAATAAAATCAATCAGATTCATTGAACAACCTTACGGCAAAGTTAAGAACCACAGGGATAAATATAGACTGTAGAATGATAAGAGAAAAAAGGAAATGATATGAAACAAAAATGGGCTTGTGGAAATACCATCCCCAAGAAAACATAAACTGGGATTTGAATTTTGATCA